AGATAGATAGATAGATAGATAGATAGATAGATAGATAGATAGATAGATAGATAGATAGATAGATAGATTTCTTCAGCTCTATGTTTTTCTCTGCTCCCCTCCCCACCTCTCCCATACCCCGTTCAACCTTCCTCCAAGGTCCCCATGGTTCCAATTTACTTAGGAAATTTTGTTGTTTTTTTTTTATATTTCTCATGTAGATTAGATCTATGTAAGTCTCTCTTAGTGTCTGCATTGTTGTCCAAGTTCTCTGAGATTGCCGTTTGTAGACTGGCTTTCTTTGCTTTATGTTTACAAACCACCTATGAGTGAGTACATGTGATAATTGTCTTTCTGTGTCTGGGTTACCTCGCTCAAAATAATGTTTTCTAACTCCATCCATTTTCCTGCAAAATTCAAGATGTCATTTTTTTTTATGCTGTGTAGTACTCCATTGTGTAAATGTGCCACATTTTCCTTATCCATTCTTCAATCGAGGGGCATTTGGGTTGTTTCCAGGTTCTGGCTATGACAAACAAAGTTGCTATGAACATAGTTGAACACATGTCCTTGTGACACGATTGAGATTCCTTTGGATATATACCCAAAAGTGGTATTACTGAATCAAGAGGAAGGTTGTTTCCTAATTTTCTAAGAAATCACCACACTGATATCCAAAGGGGCTGCATTCCCACCATCAATACAGAAGTGTTCCCTTTTCCTTACAACCTCTCCAGCGTAAGTTGTCATCAGTGTTTTTGATCTTGGCCATTCTTACAGGTGTAAGATGGAATCTCAGAGTTGTTTTGATTTGCATTTCTCTGCTGACTAAGGATGTTGAGCAATTTTTAAGTGTCTTTCAGCCATTTTTGATTTCTATGTTGAGAGTTCTCTGTTTAGGTCTGTACTCCATTTTTTTTATTAGATTATGTGTTCTTTTGGTGATCAATTTCTTGAGTTCTTTGTATATTTTGGAGATGAGTCCTCTATCTGATGGGGGGGCGGGTAGTGAAGATTTTTTTCCCGTTCTGTAGGCTGTCGTTTTGTCTTGTTGACCATGTTCTTTGCTTTACAGAAGCTTTTCAGTTTCAGGAGGTCCCACTTATTAATTGTTTCTCTCAGTGTCTGTGCTGCTGGGGTTATATTTAGGAAGTGGTTCACTGTGCCAATGCATTCAAGTGTACTTCCCACTTTCTCTTCTATGAGGTTCAGTGTGGCTGGCTTTATGTTGAGGTCTTTGATCCATTTAGACTTGAATTTTGTTCATGATGATAGATATGGGTCTATTTTCATTCTTCATGATGATATTCAGTTGTGCCAGCAATATGAAGAGTTTTTTAATAATTAAATATTTAAATATCATATTTCCCAGATCTCTGAGCAGTTAAGGGTTGTTTATTAGATATAACTACAGTATAAAATCTGACTGGAGATCTGGGTTCAAGCTTGACTGTACTGACTCAATTTAACAGGTAAAAAGACAGAAAGAAGAAAAACTGCTTACAATAAAAGGCTAATGGCAGAACTGACAATAGTAGAGAAAAGTTTGATTTAGTTTAAATCAGGGTTGGAGTAAAATATATAGTATTTTATGTAAGAGACTTATTGCTTTCAAGTCTGGAATGAGATACAATGAACAGTTATAACATTTAACAGTAAACATAGGTATATTTAAATTATATGTATGCACACTGGCTCTTCCACTCCAGCTCCTCTCCAAAGATTGGGATCCTGAACCAGGTTTTTTCCTACTACCACCACCGGCTTCTATTGGTAAGTTTCCCCCATTCTGCTATGATTGCTTCCCTCAGCTTAAATTGTGTTTGGAATGGCCTGGGGCCAATCCACCTGAGACTGAGGGCCCAGGGTCCCTCAGATCCTTTTTTCTCTTTTTTTTTTTCATTTCTTTTCTTTCCTTTTTTCCCCCTCGCCTTAAAAGGCCGCTCAGAGTGGCCTCTGTCCTCTCTGGCTTCTGAGTCACCCCGACCAGATCCAGCCAGGCCATAGCACCTCACCCGGAGGCAGGGGACGTCTGGCTCATGGGTCCTGGGTGTTTGTGTTGATTTGCACCCCACCTATACGGGGAGATGTTCCCGTTATAGGGCTTGGGTGTCGCTGTTTCGTGGGTTTTCACAGTTTCAGTTGTGAATAGCAACCATCCATGTCTGTCCCCCCGCTTTTTTCAATTCCAGCTGTAGCAATGTCCGGCTTTTTTAATCCCAGCCTTTTGCTCCCCACTGTGGCTTGTGGCATGGTGCAGTTTCTTCAATCCCAGCCTTTTGTTCCCCAACGTGGCTTGTGGCATGGAGACTTGAGGCTCAGCGACAGGGTGGAACATGCTTCTAGGTCTCTCTTATTATTAAGCTTAAAATCCCTGCAACTCAAAATTTGTGGCTTTTCCATCTCTTATTGAGCTTAAAACCCCTACAGCTCAAAAATTATGGTTTTTTTTCATACAACATGTGACTGCTGCCATTTTGACTGAGGTCAAGTGACTTCACCACCATCTTAACTGAGTGGCTTTTCAATACAACATGTGACTGCCGCCATTTTGATTGGGGTCAGGTGACTTTGTCACCATCTTGGCTGAGGGCCAGG